GCAGTGGGTTAAAAGCACAGCACTAAGAAGCTAAAGCCACTTCCGCATGAGTTCAATGCACGCCTGCCTGGGGGGTGATCCACATGGCGCAGCAGACCTCTACTGACCTGCCCGCTGCTCCCCTCATTAGTGTAATTCATCGATCTGCCTGTTCCGCTCCCTACTCTGTCTCTGGTGAATCCTCTCACCGCTCATGCACCTCTGGCTGTACCCCAGTTCTGTAGGCATAAATAAATAAATCTTAAAAAAAAAAAAAAAGTTACTGCAGAGCTCTCCCTGGTGGCACAGCGGGTTAAAGCACCACATTATGAAGCTCTCCAATGCCACTGCAGCACGAGTTCGATGCCCAGCCAGGGAGCTGACCCACATGGCCAGCAGACCTCCCCTGACCCACCTGCTGCTCCCCTCAGCAGTATATTTCAGTAGATCTGCCTGTTCTCTTCCCCACTTTGTCTCTGGTGAATCCTCACCCACCACACCTCTGGCCTGTACCCCAGTTCTGTAAGCATAAATAATCTTTAAAAAAATTTTTTTAGCAAATATTTCCTAATTTCTCTTGTGATTTTTTTTTCTTTGACACAGACTTTTTAGAGTAGTGTTTACTATGCAAATAATTGGGGACTTTGTAGGTATCTGAATGTTACTAACTTGTAACTTAATTTCTTTAATGTCATTATTTGTGTTCTAAAATGTTTAATGTTTTATTATGTATAAAACAGGTTATATAGTCTGCTTAGTGAATATTTTACATGTACATTCTAACATTATTGAATATAGGTTCAAAAATATTAATTAGGTTTTGTTGATTGGTAATGACACATTTTTCTCTTCTGCTTTCATACACTGGGAGGGTTCAGTTGATGGGGTCCTGGGGAATGAATCTCCTTCCAATACAGAGAAGCTCATATTTTCTTCAGCTGGGACCAGGGAGTCCGAGGGGGTGGCTAAACATGTCAGATATATTTGTAGCTTCTTGGAGGACCACTGGATATTTATTGGATGTGACACGGTTGATCATGATGGTATACTCAGTGTGGGGACTGATGGGGAGCAAATTATAGCCTTGGCCAGATCTTAGTTTCAACATCAGCCAGGTTCATATATTTTATATGGAGTTTTTCATATATATATGTTTTTTATATACTCCATATGAATTACTACATTTGTCTGTTTCCTTTTTTTGGTTGTCAGCTTTTTCTTTATGTATTTTTGAAACTCAGCTATCTTGTACATAAACATTTAGAATTATTTTTATATTATTTTACAATACTGAGCAACACTAGTTTATAGCGCTATGTATTTTAGGATGCAGGTTCACACTTCCTCAAATACGTGTTAAAATACCACACCCACCACCAAATTACTAACAACTATCTCCTACAGTCCACTGAATGTCTGCCCTTTGCTCTCACCTCTCCTCTCACTTTGGTAACCTTAGTTCTGTTGTCAAAATCCAAGACCTTTTGTTTTGTCTGTTATTTGCCTTGTTTCTTTATATTTCAAATTGTTTGTTTTTTTTTCTTCTGACTTTTTTTTGTTTAGCATAAACCCATCAAGATCCATCTGTGTTGTCATAAAATGCAAAATTTTTTTTCTTTTTATACAGCTGAGTATTCCACTATATGCACATACTGCTTCTTAGTCCACTCATCTGTCCGAGCACACTTAGGTTGTTTCAATAATGACTGTTGTAAATAGTGCTACAATGAACACAGGAGTGCATGCGTCATTTCAAATTAGTGTTTTTGTTTTTGTTTTTGACATCCTTTGGATAAATATCTAAGATTGGAATTGCTGGGTCATATGTTAGTTTTTTTTTTTTAATATTTTGAGAAACTGCTGTATTGTTTTCCATAGGAGCTGGGCCAGTCTATAGCAGTGCATGGGTTTTTTGTTTTTGTTTTTTTTTTCTCCTACATCCTTGCCAATACTTGTTTCTGTCTTTTTTGATATAGGCCTTTCTCACGGTGTAAGGTGGTATTTCATTTTGATTTTTGATTTCATTTCTCTGACTTTAAGGAATGACGAGCATTTTTCATGTGCCTGTTGGCCACCCATCTATCTCTGAAGGGGAAGTGTATATTTTGCTTTTCTGACCTATTTAAAATTGTGTTATTTGCTTTTTGTTGTTGTTGAGTTGTATAGTTCATTATAAATCTTACATGTCAGCCCTTTGTCAGATGCATAATGAGCAAGAAATTTCTCCCTTTTAGTGTGGTGTCTTTTAAGTATAGTTGCTTTTACTAGGCAAAAATATTTTAATTTGATGTAGTTCTACTTGTTTATGTTACCCTTGCCATTGTAGTCAAGGTTGTAAAGACACCACTGAAGCCAATGTCATGGAGCATACTGCCTGTGTTTTCTTTTCTATAAATTCTTCATTTCAGGGCATATATCCAAATCTTTATTCCATTTTTAGTGAATAATTATGTATGGTAAAAGATAGTGGCCTAGTCTCATTATTTTGCATGTGGCTGCTCAGTTTTCTCAACAGTTGGTTGAAAAGATGTTCTTTTCTCCATTTGTCATAGACAAACTGTCATATAATTGTGAGTTTACTTATGGACTCTAAATTCTGTTTACATTAGTCTGTGTGTCTGTTTTCCTTTCAATAACATGTTGTTTTGATTACTGTAACTTTGTAGGATAGCTTGAAGTCTTTTTTGTATTTTGCTTTTTTTTTTTTTTTTTAAAGTAAGAACTGCTTTAGCTTTGGGGTCTTCTGCGTCTCCATATAAATTACAGTAATTTATGTTCTATTTCCTTGAGAGATGCTAATAAAACTTTGATAGGGACTACATTGAATCTATCTATATATCTACATAGAATCTATAGATTAACTCAGACTTTTTAAAGGAATTTCCTTGTGTTCCATATGGTATTATTTTTAGTTTTTAAGAAGTGATATCTTGGGAGTAGAAAATAGGGTTGAAGTAGGGTTATTCCTGTTTATTTTATAAACTTTTCAATTCAAATGAGGTTGATACTTTCCAGTATCAACTACTAATTTAAGTATTAAGAGTTGCTGTATGAAAAAGCACTGTATATACCCTTAGACAATTTCAACATGGAGCTTTGAATCTATTTAGTATATTCATGGCTTAAATGGAAGTTTCTTTTAGGTGTTAATGCTCTTAAGGCTCCTAATACTTGCATAAACAAAGTTACATATAAGGGTAAAGATACAGTATTCTAAATAATGACTACTGACTTTTGTAAATAAAAAGAAAAGCAAAACTTTCTAATCCTAGATTTTATCTGCTACACTTAAAAACCTTTGAGTTAGGGTTGGTAAAAATGCATTAAAAGGGCTCTCCCTGGTGGTGCAGTGGGTTAAAGCACTGCACAAAGAAGCTGAAGACTGTTCCGCATGAGTTCGATCCCCGCCTGCCCTGGAGGAGATCCACATGGCGTGGCAGATCTCTCCCGACCCGCCTGCTGCTCCCCTCAGCAGTGTACTTGTCGATCTGCCTGCTCTGCTCCCCACTCTGTCTCTGGTGAATCCTTTCACCCTTCACATCTCTGGCCTGTACCCCAGTTCTGTACCAATAAATAAATAAATCTTAAAAAAAAACAAATTAAAAGAAACAAATTAACATGGAGAATTTCTTTAAATTACAGACTGAGACAAAATACTAATATAGATAGGAAGCAAAAAACAGTTGAGATCATGACTTTGATGATTATGTATTATCAACTAATACTCAAAAGAGTAGAAATTACAGAACAACATAAAACATCAGAATGGAAAATTTGCCAGACACTAAACATTGAAATTCTTATCTCTTTTGTTTTTATCTGGGCTAGAAAAAAGGTAGGGACTATAGACCTAAAAAAAAAGGCGAGGGGAAAAAAGCAAAAACCTTGATTTGGTGAATAATGGAAGAGGTGAAAAGATAGAAATAAAGTGGAAAAGTCAATGGGGTCAGAAAAATCTTAAGTGTTGTGATTAAATTTCTGACACTGTGATGCTTGTATGCATAGGTTTTGATGAAAACAGTAACACCTTTTCCACAATATACTGAAATGCCTTCAATTAGACATAACAAAATACAAATGACAAATCACAGAAGGTTCATACTTGTGAAAGTAATTAAATATTTTTTCATCATCACTGAAAAGCACAATTTAAATGAATGATGCAGTTAGAATTTAAATAAATTCATTCTAAAGACAGATGACCTAATGTCACAATCCCACATTAACATTTAAAGCATCAAAGCTTAATTTAAATTACAAAATATCTTCATTGTGCATAAGATTCAAGAAAGAGCCTTCCAGATGTTGTTTTCAAGAATTTTTTGTTTTATTGTTTGGCAACAATGAAATCTCTGGGAAGTATAATATATAAGAAAGAAACCCCCAACTTTGTTCCTCTAATTTCACTGTGATCTGTGATGAAAAATCTTGTAAGAAACTGAAACAGAATACAAGTATCTGTATGAACCTAAGCACATTTTCTCTTCTCTAGCTTCTGTAGCTAATACAAAAGGATTCATGTGTATGTGATTTTACAATTCCATGGATCGACTTTGCACTGTGGTTACTTTAAAAGCAGAAGCAAGAACATTCATGATTTACTTTTTCTCACTAAAATAAAGGACTAAGTAAGCATATTCAAAACCTGTGGGAACTATTTTGCCCTATGTCCTGGATCCTGCAAATACCTTTAGAGAATGGATTAGAAAGATATTTAAGCTTATTAGCTAGAAAGATGTCATCCTCTTAAAGCAAGGTACAGGAAAAGAAAAGTTCAAGAATTATAAATTCTTAGAAAACATAAAAAATCCTTTGGACCTTGGCAATGAAAAATGTCAACAAGTCAAAAGAGACTATTGACCAGGTCTATGAAGGCAAAGCTCCAAGCCAAGCTGGAATAATGCTTCCCCACAGTGTATCGAAGGCACAAATGACACTAATCCTTTTTAATGGCCACAAAAGCTGACAACTTACTCAGCCTTAGAACTGAATGCACAAAATCATCTCTGAGAATGACTCACCATAAACAGGTCACGAGCACCAATGTCAACAGCTAACAGAAATGCCTTTTCAAATCTCTGATACCTGCAAGGAAGAAATGTTATGTTGTGAAAAAAAACTATAGAAAAGTAGAACACTGTTTAATCTATGTGTTATTGTTTTTGTTATGCTGGGGAAAATACTTTCAAACAGAAGGTATTAGTCTGCCAGGACCTTGCAGATGTGAAGTGTTATTGCGCTTAGGAGGTGCTGAGGTGAGCAGAGAGACTTTCATGGGTAAGTATAACACAGGGTAGGTAATACTGAAGTGGGGAAATGCTTCTCATAGATTTTCACTTTCTGTGTTTTGTAAAAGTTTGGTGATGTGGAGAATATAGGACAGTCATTTCTAAATTATGTAATTATACTTTTAGGTTTCTTAGGTAAAAGTTGAGAAATCAAATGTTGCATTATTACAAAATTCTTGTATCTATGCATTTTGGAAAAATAAATTTAGACTGCATTTAACATTATAAAATAACAATATAAATGGCTTTTTAGTACTTTTTAAAATATTACTTATTTTTCATAACCTTTTGAGAATTTTTTGGTGAAGGCTTAAATTTAAACTAAAATACATAAAAATGGCAGTTCGAGTTAATCACATTTATAAAAAGTGTAAGATCTTGAGAGAAAGTCATGACATGAACATAAAAACACTGCACAGGTTTTTGAAATGACAGGTCATCTTTATTTGGTCTGAGAGCTGAGATTTATACAGAGAAAACTAGAATCTTCTGACTCTAAAACAATCAGGCAAATCTGTTTCTTTTCTATTTTGTATTGGGAATATGGTAATGGAACATGAGATTTCAAATAAAACTTAGAAAATTCTAATAATACTATTAACAGATCACATACATACTGTTAAAATAGCTAAAATAATTAAAATTCAAACAAGACATTGTTATTGCAAAGTCTGAGAACTGAGATTTTCACAATGTCCAGGATATGTTTGATTGCTATTATCCCCGTCTCTCAATGATCCTTCTTACTAGTGTATCTACTCAATTATGGCAGATCACAAGGCAGTTGTATTTATTTGAAGTGTCTGGTTTCAGCTAGGTTATTGATTTATTACCTAGTTGGTGTAGGTGAGAGCTAGTGAGAAGAGGCCAGAGGATAAGCAAGTTGTCCTGCTTGCCCATACATGCATGGCCATTTTGCATTTGTCTCCATTCCACTGCAGTTTTTCAATAATAATCATTTATGTTCTAACACTCAAACATAAAGATAAGTCCTTATCTTATGTGCTGTTTTGGCCCATTTGACCCTTATTAAATCCTACTTTCTTTCCTTGCATTTGGGTTGTCATTCTTTTCTCTACTTCATAGACTTCATCTTACTTTTCTTTCTTAGTTCATTTTTCTCTGCCTATTCCATGAAGTTGATTTTTGTGGCTGCCACCCGGAAAACACCCCTTGATCACCTGGCTGTGCAGGCCAAAGGGTCGGGGGCTTACATTCCTAAGTTTCATGAGACTGTAAAAATTGGAGAGACAGTTCCTGGCAGATTCCCACCCTCAGGGCACTGCAGAGACAGCAGACTGAAACACACCCAAGTCTTTCCATGAAAGAGATCCCTTCACTTGTCCTGACGTTTTTAGTGTGAGGGGAAGGCTTCAGGTTTGGAACACAGCTAGTGGCCTAAAGAAATGCTTTCAGGGAAGAAAGGCTGGTGGGTGCCATATTTGTTGTCTCCCTCTGCATCACTATACGGAGTCACTCCTAAGACTGGACAGGTAGCAATTTTATCTAATACATAGGAACACAAACCATCTAGCAAAATGAGGAAATACATAGAAATATGGTTCAGATGAAACAGGCAGGGAGAAAAAAAACTTAGTGAAAGAGAAATGAATGATTTACTTGATAAAAAGTTCTAAGAAATGGCCTTAAAGATGCTCACTGATCTCAGGTGAAAAGTGGGTGAGCACATGTATTGAATGCTGGCTTTTATATTTACCTATGTAGTTATTTTTATGGGTATTTATTTCTTTGTATGCTTTGAGTTGCTCCCTAGTGTTTTTTCATTTCAACCTGAAGCACTTCCTTTACATTTCCTCTAAGGCAGGTCAGCAAGCAATGAACTGCCTCAGCTTTTATCTGAAAATATCCTAATCCTCATTCGTTTTTATTTTTATTTTTAAAAATTTATTTATTTATATATGTTTTACATCATTGTTAATGTTTGCACAATATATGCTTTCTCCTTTCGGGGGTAGTCCCTGTAAATTTCCCACAATTAATTAATCTGTGCACTATCACCTTGGTCCCTTGTACTCTTCCCTTCCCTGTTTCGATCCCTCTCCCTCCCTTGCAGAGTGTCTCTGATTTATAGTTGCCTGTAAATTTTAGGTTTCATTTATTGGCATTATAATTTTTGTAATCCCTTATTTGGTTCCCCTACACCATCCTATAAGTAAAACCATCGGACCTTTTTCTTTTTCCTCTGGCTAATTTCACTGAGTATAATCCCCTCTATACATGTTGCTTCAAACAGCATGGGTTTGTCGTTTTTGATTACTGAATACTATTCCATTGTATATATGTACTACAGGATCTTCTCGATCCTGTCATCTATTTTTGGGCATTTGGATTGTTTCCATTGCTTACCTATTGTAAATAGTGCTGCAATAAACCGACGGGTGCACGTATCCTTTTGAATTAATGTTTTTGTGTTCTCTGAGTAAATCCCTAGAAGTGGAACTGCTGGGTCATATGGAAGCTCCATTTTTAGTAATTTGAGGAACATCCACACAACTTTCCATAGTGGTTGGACCAGGAGAGTTCCTTTTTCTCCACATCCTCACCAACATTTGTGGTTCCTTGCTTTTTAAGTGTGTGCCATTCCTACTCGTTTCAATTAGCATTTCCCTCACTATGAGGGCTGTTGAACATGTTTTAATATACCTGTTGGCCATTTGCATTTCTTCTTTGGAGAAGTGTCTTTTGAGCTTTTCTGTCCTTTTTGACTAGATGGTTTACTTTGTTTTTGTTGAGTTGTATGAGTTCTTTGTAGATCTCTGTGATCAGTCCTTTATTAGTTGTATGGAGTACAAAATTTTTCTCCCAGTCAGTAGGGTGTCTCTTTGTTTTGGCTAATGTCTCTTTTGCTGTACAGAAGCTTTTTAGTTTGATGTAATCACAGCTGTTTATCTTTTCCTTCACTTTCTTTGCTTTGGGGGATTAGTCTTTAAAGATGTTACAGGGATGTATGTCATGTAGTGTTTTACCTATGTTTTCTTCTATATATTTTATGGCTTCAGGTGTTATGGTCAATTCTTTTACCATTTTGAGTTAGTTTTTGTGCATGGTGTGAGATAGTAGCTTGTTTCATTCTTTTACATTCATTCATTTTTTAAATGATAATTTTAAAGATATAGGTTTAAGGATTTTTTTCTTTTTATACATTAAATGACAACTTGTTACTTTTTGATTCCCATGGTTTTTGAAGAGCTCTTAATCTTACTAGAAATCAATAAAATATCTCCATTTACAATTGTCTCAAAAATAATCAGATACTTTGGAATTAACCTATCAATAATTAAGGGGGTGAAGGACTTATACAGCAACTATTAAGCAACTTTAATATTAGGCATTATTAAGAAATTTTATGAAATAAAGAGATGGAACGATATCCCATATTTGTGAGTGGGGAGAATCAATAGTATGAAAATGATTGTTCTTCCTAAAGCAAATAAATTTAATGCACTTCTCATCAAAACATCAACAATATTCTTCAAATAAATTTTTAAAAAATAATAAAATGTATATGGAACCACTGAAGACCTTGAATAGCAAAAGCAATCTTGAGGGAAAAATAAGGGATTTCAAACTTTACTATGAAGCCAGTATTAAAAACAATATGGTGATGGCACAAAAATAAATGAAAAGAATGGAACAGAATTAAAAGCCCAGAATTAAATCCATGTATGTATTATTAGTACTTAATTTATGATAAAGTTGCCATAACCTACAATGGGAACAGGAGAGCCCCTTTAATTAATGGTGCTGATCCTGATTTAAAAAAAAATGATAGTATCACACTTGTTGTAGACTACAAACTATACTATAAAGCCATATTCATTAAAACAGCCTGGTACTGAACAAAAACAGACACAGACCATTGGACTAAAACTGAGGGCCTTGAAATTAATCCATAATTATATGGACAGTGAATCTATGACAAAGGGCATCAAAACATACATTAAAATATGGATAGCTTCTTCAATAATTAGGGCTGGGAAAACTGGACAGCCATATGCAAAAGAATGAAGCTAGACCTCTATCTCACACCATATACAAAAATCAATTCAAATGGATAAAAGACTTGGTTATAAGACCTGAAACTATAAAATATAAAAGCATAGGCAAAATACTTCATGACAAGCTTCAATGATATCTTGAAGGATTCTTCCCAAAAGCAAGAAAAATAAGAGAACTGGGGCTATATTAAACTAAAAATCTCCTGCAATCATTACCACCTTACTTACAGCTGTAAGAATGACCTATATCAAAAAGACCAAAAACAAGAGCTAGCAAAGATAGAGAGAAAAGGAAGCCCTCCTATACTGCTGGTGGAACTGCAGACTGGAGGCTTCTCAAAAGAAATCTGCCATATGTATCTGCCATGTGATCGAGAAGTTCCACTCCCAGGAATCTACCGGAAAATTAAAACCACTGATTTGAAAGGGATATTGCACTCCCATGTTTACTGCAGCACTATTTACCACCCATTATATTATAGTAATTCTCACAATACAGTAGGTATCATGACTATCCTTAATTACAAATTTAAAATGTATCCACATTCAAAATTCCAAGCAGTTACCCTCTGCACTACATTGACCCTTCCTACCCCTGCCAAGCAAGCACTTCTTTATGAAAACTGATTACTGAACACATAAAAAGGCATTAGGAAAGGACATGCAAAGTAAGTTTGAAAGTGCAGATCATTTGAATTTGGAAGAAAGCTGCCATACTTTTTCATATTTGATAAGTATAAAAAACAGGTATCTGTGGATATCCTCTACTCACATGATAAAAATAAAACATATACAAAAACATTTTAATAGCCCACACAGTATAACAAGCCTATTATCACAAATCCATACTGTAACATTGCCCCTTAGCAGTTCTATGAAATTAAACCAATGCAGTATTTTATTCTTCTTTACCAAAAGAATCTAGTTTGGATCCTGCAATCTTAGTTTGTTCTCAGCTTTATCAATATGTAGTCTTAGGTTCATACTGCTCTCCATGAGGCTCCTTTTTCATTTTAATTTAAAATTTATTTCTTATGATGATCTTTACTTAAAGACTTATTCCATTAGCTAGTAACTTTTTTTTGAGCATTAAAATACTAGCAAACTAAAATAGAGGGAGTACTACAATTCTAGTACTAGACAAATATAGGAAAGTATGTGGTCTGTTTCTCTTTCTCTAGGGAGAACTTAGCAACTGATTAAATAAAATAATGGGGGCCCTCCCTGGTGGCACAGCAGGTTAAAGCACAGCACTGAGAAGCTTAAGCCACTTCCGCATGAGTTCAATCCCCACCTGCCCCGGAGGAGATCCACATGGTGAGGCAGACCTCTCCTGACCCGCCCACTGCTCCCCTCAGCAGTGTACTTTGTCCATCTGCCTGTTCTGCTCCCCATTCTGTCTCTGGTGAATCCTCTCACCCTCCGCATCTCTGGCCTGTACCCCAGTTCTGTATGAATAAATAAAATAAATCTTAAAAAAATAAAATAAAATAATGGTTCCAACTTAAGCTAACTCATTCCATGTCTTCTAAATATAATTTTTTAAATAATGCCATATATAGCCTATTGTCAAAAGAATTAATGTATACTTATTATACTTGAAACAAAAGTAAAATATCCAAAAACAGGCAAACCACATTAGAGACAGAAAATGTTCAATTCCAGATATAATCACAAGAAAAGCTACAGTATAATAATGATGATGATAATAGTGACCTCATCAGAATATAGCCAAAGAATAATTAGAATACTGCATCTGCAGAAAACCAGTAAACAAAAAATATGCCTGTAGATAGTGTGGGTATTAGTAGAATGAGCACTTAACAGCCAGCAAGCAGCTTATAAAATACAACCAAATGACTGGGTAAGTCAGACCAGAGACATCGTTGGGCCACCAAAATATGCCCCCAATATGTGTGCTTGATTCATGCTAATCTCTCTGGATCTGAGGGCAGGAGGTGAATTCATCAATCTTTTCTAGAAACAGAAAACAAAATAGTGGAAAAAAGCAAAGAATTAAAGTTCAGATAGATGTGCCTTCATTGTCAATACTTTGGGGCATATGTTCATTCAGAGAATACTGCCTCCTTTGGGGTGAAGAGCCTTTTTGGAAATGCTAAAGTCATTTATATAAAAAGGCATCACTCCTAACTAATGAGATATGTTAACATTTCTGTTTCTGAAAAGACTTTTCCAAAGGCTTCACTACTGGATAGACATCAACGTACCACTTTATAAATAGTTGACTTTATAAATAGTTCTGAGGAACAAAACATGAGCTTTATCTGCAATTTGCAATTGCTTGAAAGAGTTTAAAAGAGCTAGAAGTTACATTATTAGTAAAATTTAAAGTCTGCATTCAATTCACTAATACTTTTGGCATATGGAGTGAAAATTCCATTACTTTCTTTTATAAAGATATCTATATAAAATATACAAAAAGTAAATATTCAGCTAAAATAATTATTCAGCTATAATTATTATAGGCCCTGTTACAGACCCATTCACCTTAAAACATGGGGTATTACTGACTGATAACCTTGGAAAGTGCATGTACCTGTTCCTATCATTTCTTTCTTAATGCATCCCATATTACCCTAAAATCTCACACTAATCACTCCTTGCTTTAGTTTATAATTTGAACCACTGACATGTATCTGTCTACTGTCTATCTTTCTGTACCTATTTCTCCATTTTTTAAACTTTATGAAATATTCTGAATGTACTTCTCCAGCCTCCAAAGTATTTTCCCAGAGTAATTCTGACTTAATTACCTAATATTTCACAGAATTCCAAGGTTAAAGGATACTATCTATTTGAAGCAAAGAGAAGAGGTACAGTGAAACCAGCTTCCTGCTACTCAGAGAAGGATGACAAATCATTCTACGGTAATTTGAAATAACAACAGAGTAGTGACTATCTGAGAAGTTGACAGCACATTCATATTTTTAGCTTCAATGAAAAGTAGGAGCTAACAGCACAATTAAACCTTAAACGGATTTCATAAATCTGTAACTTTACATGTTCTTAACTTTCATAATTAAAAGGACATTATATACATGTACAGTAATGATGTAAAAGCCCTAAATAATACTCAATATATTCGTTGAAAGGAAAACAAGAAATTGAGAATATCAAGAGAGGATTTTTCCCTTAGTGAATGGACTATTAGAAAAACAGTTATGATTTTAATGAAAGTCCGTTTCTTAAATAATCATTCTGATACTAATTAATTCAAGATATTATTCACCTGAGCAAGTGGTGGAAGAATCTTCTTGCATATTTGCTGATTTGGTCTCTATATTCCAATATAGTTGTATCCAGTAGTGGTCTTGTTGGAGCATAGAAGGTTCCAAGGCTTGCCTCAAGCTGTGCTGTGGATTTCAAACATAGCAGCACTAAAACAAGTGAAACTCCTTCAATTACAACAGAATACTCATGTTTGCAGTCAGTCAGGTTTTGCAGACTTGGATGAAATGTGAGCTTGTTGCAGGAAAGATGAAATTAAAATATGACAGCTGGTACAAAAACAAACCTGTGTATAAACTTTCACTTGAGGCAAAGCTGACAATGACTCTGAGCAACAAAAAGCTGTCAAAACTGAAGAAATCCATAATGAACCAACCTCTCACCACAAATGGGTAATTAAAACAGTGACTCATCAAAGTAACACAGTTTGAACTAGTATTTCCAGTAAAATCAACTCACAGCGTACTCAACATTTAACTCTCTTCAGCTGAGGGCAGAAGAGGTTCCTACACTGGGAACTGAAATCAATATTACAAATATTTAAAAAGAGTAATTTATAAATATTATGGGGTAAAAATATCTATTAAAACTTTTCAAAACCAGTGAAAGTCCTCAACTGTCTCTAAATCCTTTCCTAAACAACACCATTCTTAATTTTGTCCAAGAGTGAAAGTTAACACCCCGTGGGAGGGAAAACATGCTAATCTGAGCTGGGTCAACTGACACCTTCCAAGCAAAGGACGGGAGAGTGGGTTTTGATAAACCAGAAGGCTAGAGATTGAGAGAAAAAGGGTTTATTTGCCTACTTCACAGTGTTACCAAGACATGCCTAAGGGATTGTGTTTCTGCCCAGAAATACCTGAAAGTTATGTAATTATCATAATGGCAAGAGCATGAGTATGTGTGAGAACAACACTGTTCACAGTAAGATGCCTCTGATTTTTATGCTACTAGCACTGGGTTGAATATTCCTGACTTAGCAAAATGCTTAGTTTCAGGAATATTTGAGTTTGAAAATATTAAATACCTCATCAGAACAATTGCTGTGAACTTGGCTAAGCTGTTAGTAATTTCCTTCTTTTAAATCTCAAATCTAGACAGTAAAGTAAGATGAACTTTAGGGGTATTTTCTGGCAAAGCAGCAGTCAATTTAGATTAAAATTGAATACAGCAATGCTATTATGAAAACAAGCCAGACTCTCTTGCCTTTGCTTGTTTTCTTGACAGCATGTTTCGTACATCTGAAACGCTGGAGCCTACATGGAATACTTGTAACTCCTAGCACAGTTACAGATTCATTAGATAGCCCAGCTTGATGTTTAAAGCAGAAATGAAGATCTCAAAGATAACACAACGTGGTTACAAATAAAAGAGCTCACTTGGATCCACTAATAAAAGGAAAACAAATTACCATGTCAAATTTGCTAGATTCAGATAGAATAAATCTCAATAGGAATTCCGAATGTCTTAGAAATATGTTCTGTAGTTACTTTTGTGAGGTGGGGGAGGAGAAGAATACATGTGTATACATATGCACACACATACTTAAAATGTACCAATTCTGATAATCCAGCATTAAGTGTTTTGTTTTAATAGACTCGTATCATACAAATTTTTTATTTCCCTATCTTCCCAATATGGTTCCTTGAAAATACCTTTTATTAAAGCAAGAATTTGATAATGCCCATTTGTGAGTTCCCTACGAGTCTTTCCTATAATACAATCTTACAGCACAAGTTCACTCAGGTGCTAGCAATTTCAAGTGTCCTGAGATTTAATTTTATATTCTCTGTAATTTCTTTTCTTCAACTGTAAAGTTAGGCTCTTTTGTATTGACAGGGCATATCTTCACATTTTCTTTAAGGACTCTGCTGATCTTTCATTTTTTCCTACTCTATACATTATCAGTCCTAATGTACCAATACTAAGCAGTAATAACATGAGGTATTTCTAAAGCAGAAATGTTATAGTATTACCTATTAACGTTGAAGTCCCCTAATGAAACTCTTAAATTAAACTTTTTATTTTTAATTAAAATTCATTGAGTACTTACTGCGAGTCAAACAGTGTGCTAGGCATTTTTTTCCACTATAGAAATTCTAGAATTTTCATAGATAGGTTGAACTATTACACAAAAGTGAATTTAACTAACATTAATGTTTTTATTGTGAGCCTCTTGTAAGTTGAGCCAGTTTTCTATGATGACTTCCTGAAGGGACATGCTCTGATTATTCTCTAAAATTACTAAAGTAATAGTTATGTACAGGATTATATCTAAACAACTTTACTTTGAAAATATAATGAAATGAAATAAAATAATCTATAAGCATGCAAACAAAACAGGAGAGAAAAAAGAAAACCCTCTCCAGTAAAACCTTTCAACAGATTTGTTTTCCAAAATTTATGTTACCTAACCATGTGGGCATGACTTTCCAATATTAAGGTCAATGTTTATTGCAAAAATTTGAAATAAAGATTCAAATAAAAAATGTTTAGGTGTAAAAAAATGACATGTCCTTTGTGACAGTATGCACGGATATTCAGGTGATTATGCTAAGTGAACTCGTCAGAAAGTGAAAGACAGTTAACCAGTGATTTTCTTCATTTGCAGGATGTAAGTAAACACAGAACTCCTAGATTATGTGGAAAATAAGGAAGTGACACGGGGGAAGGGGAGAGAGGAAGAGGATCAAGTGGGGAAACAGGGTAAGCAGTTACACTAGATGTTTGGTGGAGAATGAGTGATGCATGTGCACATGTTCACGTGTGAAGCTGAGCCCCCCCCAACCTCACAAATTTTCTAAATGATGATTAATCAATAAGATTTAATAATACAGAAAAAAAGGATGTTTGGGTACATTTTACATTAAATGAATAACTCATATAGTATAATGTAAACTGGGTTATTGACTATATAAATTTTTTTCAGTATTGCATGTAGTTTACTCTGTATCTTGCCTCTCTTTCGACAATAATAAACTGAGATTTCTTTTAAAACTCAAAAATATCCTCAAAAATAACTGACATAATGAAATAGACTTCATGTATAAATAAAGTGCTAACCTTCTGTTTCTGGAGTGAGCTTTTGTCTAAGAAGATGGTTGACAATAGCACTCATACAGATGAAGCACTGGTGGCCCAGCGTGTCCCAGTTCATACTGCTCAGGATGTTGATTGCCTCAGAGATCTCACCACAGTGAATGTACTGGAAGATAATGTCTACCAGGCCCAACTGTCCTTGTGTGAAGATACCTGTCACAAGAAAGGTCAAGTCAGGTGAAACTCTATATAGAAAGTAGAAAAGAACAGAGTAACTTTTCCATGAAGGAAAAAACAAAACAGAGATCAGTCATTTCCTCCATAAATGCTAGAAAGGTGTGATTTTGAAGGTGGAAAGTAATATGGTTCTGTGTTAAATCCTCATTTTACATGCCCCCCACCAACTCCATGTAGCTTATGTTTATCATTCAGCACATCATTAGCTAACTTTCATTCTGCATAACCAAACTATTATACTAAAATACACTAAACATGGAAAGATTTTTTTAGAGGGAGCACAATAGCGAACCCTATTTTTACCATCAGTGGTCTAGGTCTCTTTGGCACATTTAACAGAGAGGGTTTGGGGCAGCTTTGGAGGTGGCATCGGGCAGATGTTGCCAGGCCAGGCCCTGGTGCTCTGCATGCTTACAGATGTCCCTAAAGCTCTTGCCACTGAGTGGGGGCGAGCACAGGGAGGGGCCCAACTGGCGCACTTCCCCTGGCAGTGCCCAGACTGTGTCAGCCCTGGGCTCAGAGACTACTTGCAGAACTCCTCTGGGGCTGCAGGGCAAGGCCCTGACAGCAAGCAGATAACAGGTTCTTGTGAGGTGCCAAGGGGAGGTCGTGGTCAAGTACAACCTCTAGGAATTGCAGAAGCGCCTCAACCGAGAGGAGCAGACTCTGGAGCAGCTTGCTCGCCTCTGTTACTGCCAGGAAGAGGCAAGTCCAGAGCTGGAGAAATGTATACATGAGTTCCTGAGCGTGGAGAGTGCCAAAACCTGGTCTCCCTATGTCAAGGAATTGCTGGTTGACTGTTGGCAAATCCAATGAGGTTCATCTCTGGCCTACTGGACAAAATTGGGAACATTCATAAGTTGGGCCACCCCGCAAAAGAAGAGAGGGTCCTCGACCCAAGTGAAAAGTGGCTCCCACAGAACAATTGCTGACCCTCAACCTCATAGCAACAGCAGGGTCAGGGTCCCTGTGGCCAGGCATGGTGCCATGAGGAGGTCTCCCTATACCCCTAGTCAAGGGGTGCTTCCATTTTCCACTTTTGGGGACTTCTGGGGTTGAGGGTTATTAAATTGATGGAACATTTCATGTTTTTGTTGACTGTGGTATAGGTCCTTTAATAAAGCTAGGATGTTTTTGATACAGCGTAAAAAAAAAGTAAAGACATTTTGATGCAAACAAAATGCTTATTGACAACTTTCATTAGCTGTGACCTGCTGTAGTCTGCAGTCCATGTTTTCAGCTGTAGAATGGTTGTGGGGGGAATTTAAGTACATGACAAATTAATGTTCTTATATAAATGCTTTTAAGTCTGTTTTTATTAATGAGTGCTCTACATTGATTTGTCATAGGTATCACATCAATTTTAAATTGACATTTAGAGATTATTCTTTTCTATTGAAATAAAAATATCTATTATTTCTGATAGTGATCTCTTTCACAAGTAGTATTTGTTATAAAATATCTTGGTATAATATAAACATTTTTTATTTTTTAAAATGAAAGAAAATTCAACTTTCTTAAAGTGAAAAAAAAATAAATTTACTCTACCATATGACCCATCAATTCCAGTCAGAGCATCTATCTGACAAATGCAAAAACACTAAATCTAAGGAAAACATGCATGCCTATGCTCACTGCGGCCCTATTTACAACAGTTAAGTTATGGAGACAACAGAAGTTTTTCAAGATGTGAGTGGATTGAGAAGATGGGGTACATACACACAACAGAATACTATTCAGCAATGGAAGGACATGAGCTCTTGCCATTGTGACAACATAGATGAAACAGGTTTAAATGCTACGCGAAATAAGTCAGGAGGAAGGCAAATAATGCACGGTTTCACTGACATATGGACTGTAAAGAAATAAAAGGTCAGTCAAAACCAGAGTAACTAACACTAGAAATCTGTCTAGAACAGAAGATGCCAGAGGAGGTTTGGGGAGGATGGGGAGCAAAGAATAAAAAAGGCCGAATGGAATATGGTGAAGGGGTCTTAGTGGTGAGTTTGATGACATAAATCTGAAGAGGTGTGATCTTATACCTCTGAATCACATTCTGTGTTGTAAATCAGTGTTACCTGAATAAAATAATTTTTTAAAATTCATTTAAAAATATTATTGTATAGCCCTCTACTCAACGTATATAACTTAAAAAACCGTATTAGGATAAAATAAATTACTACCCAAAAAAGAGAAAAAAGAAAATCCACTTCTAATCTTAAAGGAACAGAAAACAAAACAGAGATGGGTGGCAGTCTGTTCTAACTTTATCACCTTTTAAAATACATGATCTCATTTGAAACTAACAATCTCTGTGTAATTAAATGAAGCAGCTTTTAAAAAAATCTTTTAAAAATGGCTGGCTGTAAAATTTTTTCTTCTTTAGCCAATATTTACAGATTTGAGTGACTATAAAAACTCAGTACAAATGATAAAGCTAAACAGGAGAAAGTAAATAAAATCTTTAAGCTCCAAAATTTATAAAATGCTAATGAAATTCTTCTTATTACTGTCATTATCATAATTTAGCTGGAATAGTTTTAAGTTTCAGGTTTAAAAAATTTATTGATTCATGAGAAAGGTGTCAAAATCCTTCATACTAACTTCAAGATACATTCAAAAGAAAACTTGTGCTATATCTAACAGGACTCAACTTGATAGGGAATCTGAGGAATTGCCCTGCCTATACTAAGCAGTAAAACTTTACTATTCTTTTTGTGTTGGTAGAATCAACAAATACTAATCAACAAGAGCTTTTCAGCCTGCAGTCAAGCCCTGGAAGTTCTCATAAATCAGGGTGGTTCCTCTGCAGTAGATGCAAATGCATGGGGACTTTGCAAAAAATCAAAAATAACTGAAAGCTGTTGACTATTCCTTAAGCAACACTTCTAGCAAAAGAAAAAAATATATACTCAAATTGTTCAAAAATATAAATCTTCAGAAGAAGCCATAGGGGAAAAAAGACACAATGTACAGAGAAAGATAGGAATCACTACAGACTTTGCTTCTGATATAATGCGAACCAAAAGACAACAGCAGTCCTTTAATAACTGAGATAAAAATGAATTCATTTACAATTATATACCTTTATAATACAGAACTGAAAAACTGCATGTAAAAGAACTCTAAAATAAAGAAAAACTAAGAGAACTGGAAAAAAAACTCCTACAATTGTAGTTTGAAATAGCCTTTTCACTAGTTGAGAGAACATGTAAACAGAAAATCAGTAAAAATTAAAAATACTAGGCCCTCCCTGGTGGCACAGCGGGTTAAAGCACTGCCCTAAGAAGCTTAAGCCACTTCCAAATGAGTTCGATCCCCGCCTGCCCTGGAGGAGATCCACATGGCGTGGCAGACCTCTCCTGACCCGCCCTCTGCTCCCCTCAGCAGTGTACTTCGTTGAACTGCCTGTTCTGCTCCCCACTCTGTCCCTGGTAAGTCCTCTCACCCTCCACATCTCTGGCCTGTACCCCAGTTCTGTATGAATAAATAAATCTTTAAAAAAAATTTAAAATACTTAAAAAAGTAGCAATAAATTTGACCAAATTGATACTTGTAAAATACTTCCACCCAACAGCATATATTCTTTTAATGTGTACATACAACAGCAACCAGGATGTTATTCTAGATGATAAAGCAAGTCTCAAAATGTAAACATTTTAAAATTATAAACAGTAATTCTCTGACCACAACAAACTCAATAGCAATATGGACAGCAATATGAAATGAGATCCAAAAATCACCAAACAAACATTCATCTCATAAGATTAGAACATATGAGATGCAGCTAGAAGAATTTCTATCTTTAAATAATCTGAATTAGAAAAGAAGGTCTATAGTAAAAAAGAATCCAAGCTTCCACATTAAGCAACAAAGGAAGAACAAATTAGACCTAAAGAAAGTATAAGGAAGGAAACAAATATAAACAAAGAACAGTGAAAATCAATGAAAAGCTGGCTCTTTGGAATTGTAAAATTAATCTGCTTTTCTCTAAGTTGAGGAAAAAATGAGAAGAGACACAGCTTACCAATATGAAGAATAATAAGCATTATAAATCTACAAGCATTACAAAAAGTAAGCAAATAGCATGAAAAAAAGTTATATATATTTATACAAATAAACTTACATGAAGTTAATTCCTTGAAAAAGTCAAACTATCAAGTCATTGAAGGAAACTGATAACCTCAGAATGTACATTATTTAAATCTGAATTTGTAGTTAAGATAGTTTTATACTCACATACAACACTTATACACACAGAACCTACATGTCCAGATGCCTTCACTGGTGCATTTTCTCAAACATTAAAGAAAAAGTAATATCATCTCTATACAATGAAAAATATGAAAGGAAGGGGGCATTTCTCAACTCATTTCATGATGTGAATATTACACTGATACCAAAAACTGAACAAGGTATTATAAAACTTTGGGCCAATATTTCTTTTAAATATTTCACACAAATCCTTAATATGAGCAAATCCAGTAATATATTAAAAATATAATAGACTATGAAAAGAGATTTAGTCAGGAAGTGCAAGGTTGCTTATCCATCTTAAAATGAAGCAATATGATTCACCATATAATCAGGAAAACATTTAATCATTACAATAGATGGAGAAAATTTTAAAAAGCTCAATATCCACTCAAGATAATATAGCCTTACGTAACAGTGACTGAAAGGGATTTTCTCAACCTAATAACATCATACTTATCGTGAAATTCTTAACATTTTTTACTTAAGATCAGAAACAGAGAAGATGTTCTCTCTTCCCTCTTCTGTTGTACTAGAGGTCTGCTAATCTAGTAAGGGAAAAAAACAAAAGACATAGGTTGGAGAAGATGTAATATCTTTAAATTGCAGATAAACAAGTATGACTGAAAACCTGAGGTATATGCCAAAAAATTTACAACTAATAACTGGTTGTATTGACAACATATATGAGTAATAACTAAAAAATGTGTTCTATAAAACTC